TGGGGAAGCCCAGCCTGCTCTCTTCTACAGGAAAGAGGAGAGGTGTGTCAGGTGCTCGCTTCAAAACAAAAAGAGTAAATAAGCAGCAGTAACTAGTGCAAGGATTCCCAGCCTTGTAAAGTGACAATATAAAAAAGGAGAGGAAACTGCGCTTTAAATAAATTCTTACATACATACACTTGATGTCCCTTAGTCGGTATGGATAATATATCCTCAAAAAAACACAAAGAGGGAAATACAATAGTGCAATATGTTATAATAAAAACCAGAATTACTGTGTAAACTGAGGTATTTCAAACTCACATTTGGTAGAGCTAATCAGGAGCTCTACCTTAACTTGCACGGACGGTACAATCCCCGTCTCAGGATAGAGAGTTCAACTTTTCAATGCTCCAATGGTGTGGTGGCATAAAAATAAAAACAGAAGAGAGAGAACTCCAATAGTGTAGTAGTTCTAATTAAAATGTGGAACAAATAAAATGAAGATGATTATACTCACATTTATTAGAGCAGACAACTTGCTCTAGTATAGAAGGCTTGCAGTGGTATAATCCCCACTGAAGGATATATGATACCAGGAAATGATGAGGAAGGTGAATAAAAATAAAGTAGTATATCACTTTAAAATTATATTTAATGGCAACAAGTATTTGTAATATAATAAATAAAAAGGGCTATAAAAGATAACACTTTACGCGTTTCGCCTGTTCGGCTTCATCAGAAGTGTAAAGTAAGTGTCCTCAAGTTCATCATTAATATATAAACTTACATAAGTAGAAATGACTTCCTGGTGTGTTGTGGAACGCACGCGGCAACAAACCGGAAGCGGCGCGGCGTCCACGTGTACATAGATACCCGCCGTGGAACGCACGCGTCGCACCGGAAGTGACGCGACGTAACCACAGGCAGTTTGAATACATGCGTTTCAGCAGTGGAACGCATAGTGTCCGCGGCATGTTTCTATGACGACTGGATACTTTCGCGGCGATTACAGATGCCAGAAATCCTCTTGTGAAGAAGGGCCAAATGTCTGAAGATATAAATTGATGCGTTCCAACAATGGAGCATATAATAGTCATAAAATGATCTTGTGTTCATGAAAAGTCTCTTAAAACATGATCCAAAGTTGAGTTCAAATGTCCATATCATGTAAATCTCAGCATTTTAAACCGAACACATAAAGAAGAAAAATAGAAAAAAATAGAAAAAAATATATATACATCATAAGACAATGTCCGACTTTAAATAAGATGTACATGTGTAAAAAAATATATTAAGAATGAAAAATACAGATTACATATAAATATGACTTGATGTATAAAATTAAAATTAAAATTAAAAATATTTTCTTAAAAAAATACTCTTAAAAATTACAAAAATTAGAGACAGAATATATATAAAAACATTAGGTGCATAAGAAATTGGAGAAAGCCCAGGGATGGAATATATTATAATTGGGTATAGACAATTTGTTAGGTCAGTTGAGAATTATAAAAAGTTTTTAAAATTATTTTTATACAAGAAAAGTGTGTTTATAAAATACTATTTTTATAAAAAATTAAACAGATCAAATTCCACATTTAGTCCATCTGGGTGTAGGGTATTCATATTGAAAACCAATTCCATCTCTGTGCGTCCAATTTTCTTAATGTGGTCGCCTCCTCTCCAATGAGGTTTTACAGTGGTAATACCAATAAAAGTGAGATTACTAGGATCATTGTTGTGCATGCAGAAGTGCGAAGAAACAGAATGATTTTTAAAACCTTTTTCTATATTTCTACAATGTTCCGCTATTCGTATTTTTAGAGGTCTAATGGTTCGTCCTATATATTGGAGGCCACAAGGGCACTCCAATAAATAAATTACATTTTTACTATTGCATGTGATTATTTCTTTAATATTATAAGTCTTACCATTATTGTTTGATTTGAAATTACTTCTCAATTTAGGCATAGGTTTAGTTTTTCGACAGGCAACACATATATTACATTTATAAAAACCTTTGGATTCGTTTAAAAAACTAGCCCCTGTGTATTTTGTTTTCGGTTTCGTATAGTTTTTTGTGAGGTGCATCTTTAAATTTGGTGCTCCCCTAAAAACTATTTTTGGTTTTTCTGGTAGTAAATTTTTTAAAATAGTATCTTCTTTTAATAAATTCCAATGTTTATTAATAATTTTTTTAAGTTCTCTATTTCTGTTGTTGTAGTCTAGTATTATAGGTAGTGATATATTTTGCTTCTGAATTCTTTTCTTAGATAACAATTCTTTTTGATTAATTGACAATGCCTGGTTGAAAGTAGATTGGACTATATCTTTATTATATCCTTTTTGTAGAAACCTTTCTTTGATTGTTTCAGCTTGTTGTTTAAAAACAGGGGTTTCTGTACAGTTTCTCCTCAGTCTTAGCATTTGGCTTTTTGGGATGCTATCTAACCAAACTTTGTTATGACAACTTTTTGTGTCTATATAGTTGTTGACATGAACTTCCTTAAAATGAGTTTTCGTGTAAATTTTTTTGTTTTTAATATAGATGTTCAAGTCTAGGTATGTAATTTGCGTATCGCTTATTTCTGAGGTAAGAACTATCCCCTCCTGGTTAGTATTCAGAAAGGAGATAAATTTCCTAGCTTCCGTGGTAGATCCTTTCCATATAAACAGGAGGTCATCTATATATCTTGTGTAGGACACCAGGTTTTGCGTCCAGCCATGCCCCCTCCATATATATCTTTTTGTTTTGAAGCGAGCACCTGACACACCTCTCCTCTTTCTTGTTATACCACTTCCCAGTTGGGTTGCTCCACAAAATCTCAATCAATATGACACTGTTTGAATATCGTGATAATTATAATATTGATCTAAATGATATCTTTAATGATCTCACTGACTTAGATACGATAGAAAATAATGAACCACTAATCATGTTCGATGATCCAAAAGAATTATTGAGAGAACTAGAGTTTTCCTTAATCAAAGAAATGAAACTAAGATGGGAAATTGCGACCCTCAACAAATATGTTGAAGATAAAATCACCCCAAGAGGTCTTAGACTTTTCAAAATGCCGACATCAGACACAGATAACAAAACCTTTATGGAAGAGTGGTTTAACCACTTAGAGTTTTGTACATTCGGCCTTATGAAAAGTCTGATTAAGGTTAAGAGCGAAAGACTGCTTAATTTAGATAAAAAAATTAATAGCCTAAGGGACCAACTAATCCCATTTGCAGATACTGAAGAATATTTTAATCAAACACAAAATATCAAAAAAACTGTGGAAAAAACAGAAACAGATATTAAAAAAATCAAAAAAAACAAATACAACAGAGACAAATATGACTATGCAAATAATCAAATACGCACTTACAACACAAAAAAAGCACCGAGACAACAAAAATGGAGAAACACAAATTATCCATATAATCAAAACACAGAAAACAAAAAAAGTTTCAAACCAAAATATTCACAATATAGAGACGACAATGAGAGATCTGAATATTCACATTATCGAAAAAAATCACCCCGTAAATTCACAGATAGGTTTACCACCATAAATGACACTAAGATTCACAACACCACTAGTGGAGATTTTTACAATAAACCCAAGCAGATTTATTACAAACCTACCGATTTTAAAACAAAAGAAACAACATACAGAGTTGACAATATGAGAAATCAAAGAAAAGGGAGACTACACAATCCAAATGAATCACCTATGGTAGTTAGACCTAAAACACACAAATATACACATATGCCCAGTTCTCCAGTACACAAGTCCAGGGACATAGATAATCCTTGGGAAAAGGTAAATCACAATAGACACAATAAATATATAAATCAGAAACATAATTCACCAAATGAAATAATCACTAAAAATAAATACCAAGCTCTCTCATTCTGTGAACAATTTGACGAAACCTCTTTTTTAGAGATTCCATTCAACCAAGACAGAAACACCAATTGTCTGAATATTACACCCATAAAGAGCAGAAAAAGAATCCTAGAGGTAGAAGAGCAGGAAGAAGAGATCAAAAAAGGAAGATTTTAAAAACAAATAATGATGCCTCTCCTACAGGTATATTTAATCTTTCAAACAAAGTTTTAGATAAATCTCAAATAAATATACTAAAAAGAGGCCTTAAGTTTGCCCCTACTAGAACGTATAATTCTTTTCTAACCTATATTGACATAAACAAATTTGTCAGAAATGCTACTTTAAAAAGATTTTTTGCTTCCAAAACACCGACTACGCAGAACATACAAGAGAGCACACACGTTATTACTGACACTAATACAGACAAAGACTATATAAGAAGCAATCTAAAAAAGAAATCCACCTTTTACCCAGCCCATCTAAAATCAAGTGCATTAGAGATATTCGAACGTAAAGTCCATAAAGATTTAAAAACCCTAGAACATAATAACAAATATGTTAACCAACCCAATCTAAATAATTATGAGAGGAAATTACTGAAAGAGTTGTATAACGATGACTCTATTGTAATCAAACCTGCAGATAAGGGAGGGGGCCTTGTAATTTTATCAAAGGAGCAATATGAAACTGAAGCCTATAAACAATTAAACGATGACAAGACGTATACAAAACTTCATAATAACCCAACATTAGAGATGAAACAAAAATTTCAAACATTTTTAGACGAAGGAAAAAGATCTGGTATCCTTAATAAAAATGAGTTTTTATATATCAATATCCAACATCCTCGAATCCCCGTCATCTATTTCCTTCCTAAAATTCATAAAAACCTTACTAACCCCCCTGGCAGACCGATAGTATCCGGTATTGGATCCCTGTTTTCCAATTTATCTGAACATATAGATATTCTATTACAGCCTTATGTTGCTAAAACAAGATCATACCTCAAGGATTCTATCGATCTATTAAATAAGTTAAATAATATCCAATGGGAAAAAGATCTTTTGCTGATTACTTGTGATGTTCAGTCCTTGTACACGATCATTCAACACCATCAAGGTTGCAAAGCAGTGAGGACCATTTTAGAAAGAGAAAACACAATGCCACAAGACCAAATAGATTTTCTAATTGAAGGTATAGACCTAATTCTTAACAACAACTATTTTTGGTTTAAAGATGGTTTTTACCTACAGAAAAGAGGCACTGCTATGGGCACCAGGTTTGCGCCCAGCTATGCTAACCTCTATATGGCTGAATGGGAGGAAAGATATATATGGAGGGGGCATGGCTGGACGCAAAACCTGGTGTCCTACACAAGATATATAGATGACCTCCTGTTTATATGGAAAGGATCTACCACGGAAGCTAGGAAATTTATCTCCTTTCTGAATACTAACCAGGAGGGGATAGTTCTTACCTCAGAAATAAGCGATACGCAAATTACATACCTAGACTTGAACATCTATATTAAAAACAAAAAAATTTACACGAAAACTCATTTTAAGGAAGTTCATGTCAACAACTATATAGACACAAAAAGTTGTCATAACAAAGTTTGGTTAGATAGCATCCCAAAAAGCCAAATGCTAAGACTGAGGAGAAACTGTACAGAAACCCCTGTTTTTAAACAACAAGCTGAAACAATCAAAGAAAGGTTTCTACAAAAAGGATATAATAAAGATATAGTCCAATCTACTTTCAACCAGGCATTGTCAATTAATCAAAAAGAATTGTTATCTAAGAAAAGAATTCAGAAGCAAAATATATCACTACCTATAATACTAGACTACAACAACAGAAATAGAGAACTTAAAAAAATTATTAATAAACATTGGAATTTATTAAAAGAAGACACTATTTTAAAAAATTTACTACCAGAAAAACCAAAAATAGTTTTTAGGGGAGCACCAAATTTAAAGATGCACCTCACAAAAAACTACACGAAACCGAAAACAAAATACACAGGGGCTAGTTTTTTAAACGAATCCAAAGGTTTTTATAAATGTAATATATGTGTTGCCTGCCGAAAAACTAAACCTATGCCTAAATTGAGAAGTAATTTCAAATCAAACAACAATGGTAAGACTTATAATATTAAAGAAATAATCACATGCAATAGTAAAAATGTAATTTATTTATTGGAGTGCCCTTGTGGCCTCCAATATATAGGACGAACCATTAGACCTCTAAAAATACGAATAGCGGAACATTGTAGAAATATAGAAAAAGGTTTTAAAAATCATTCTGTTTCTTCGCACTTCTGCATGCACAACAATGATCCTAGTAATCTCACTTTTATTGGTATTACCACTGTAAAACCTCATTGGAGAGGAGGCGACCACATTAAGAAAATTGGACGCACAGAGATGGAATTGGTTTTCAATATGAATACCCTACACCCAGATGGACTAAATGTGGAATTTGATCTGTTTAATTTTTTATAAAAATAGTATTTTATAAACACACTTTTCTTGTATAAAAATAATTTTAAAAACTTTTTATAATTCTCAACTGACCTAACAAATTGTCTATACCCAATTATAATATATTCCATCCCTGGGCTTTCTCCAATTTCTTATGCACCTAATGTTTTTATATATATTCTGTCTCTAATTTTTGTAATTTTTAAGAGTATTTTTTTAAGAAAATATTTTTAATTTTAATTTTAATTTTATACATCAAGTCATATTTATATGTAATCTGTATTTTTCATTCTTAATATATTTTTTTACACATGTACATCTTATTTAAAGTCGGACATTGTCTTATGATGTATATATATTTTTTTCTATTTTTTTCTATTTTTCTTCTTTATGTGTTCGGTTTAAAATGCTGAGATTTACATGATATGGACATTTGAACTCAACTTTGGATCATGTTTTAAGAGACTTTTCATGAACACAAGATCATTTTATGACTATTATATGCTCCATTGTTGGAACGCATCAATTTATATCTTCAGACATTTGGCCCTTCTTCACAAGAGGATTTCTGGCATCTGTAATCGCCGCGAAAGTATCCAGTCGTCATAGAAACATGCCGCGGACACTATGCGTTCCACTGCTGAAACGCATGTATTCAAACTGCCTGTGGTTACGTCGCGTCACTTCCGGTGCGACGCGTGCGTTCCACGGCGGGTATCTATGTACACGTGGACGCCGCACCGCTTCCGGTTTGTTGCCGCGTGCGTTCCACAACACACCAGGAAGTCATTTCTACTTATGTAAGTTTATATATTAATGATGAACTTGAGGACACTTACTTTACACTTCTGATGAAGCCGAACAGGCGAAACGCGTAAAGTGTTATCTTTTATAGCCCTTTTTATTTATTATATTACAAATACTTGTTGCCATTAAATATAATTTTAAAGTGATATACTACTTTATTTTTATTCACCTTCCTCATCATTTCCTGGTATCATATATCCTTCAGTGGGGATTATACCACTGCAAGCCTTCTATACTAGAGCAAGTTGTCTGCTCTAATAAATGTGAGTATAATCATCTTCATTTTATTTGTTCCACATTTTAATTAGAACTACTACACTATTGGAGTTCTCTCTCTTCTGTTTTTATTTTTATGCCACCACACCATTGGAGCATTGAATAGTTGAACTCTCTATCCTGAGACGGGGATTGTACCGTCCGTGCAAGTTAAGGTAGAGCTCCTGATTAGCTCTACCAAATGTGAGTTTGAAATACCTCAGTTTACACAGTAATTCTGGTTTTTATTATAACATATTGCACTATTGTATTTCCCTCTTTGTGTTTTTTTGAGGATATATTATCCATACCGACTAAGGGACATCAAGTGTATGTATGTAAGAATTTATTTAAAGCGCAGTTTCCTCTCCTTTTTTATGCTCTCTTCTACAGGTCTGTGTAAAACATTTAATTCCACTCATATCTTCCATTTAGCCCATATGAATTGGGCGAATAGCTTCTGCATTTTGGACTAAATATGATTAGTCGGATTTGAAGTGTCCGAAAGAGAGATTGAAATTTTGGTAGTAGGGTCATTTTGACAGCAGCAATTCTGCCCACCCATGAAAGAAACTTGCCTTCCCAGGTTTGTAGTATATGTGCAATTTCCCTTTGTAAGGGTTCATAGTTATGTTAAAATAGGTCTTGTAGGTTTTTCATAAGTTTTAGTCCCAGAAAGGAGACATAGTCTAGTGTGAAAGATTGTTGTAATGTGTGCAGTGTGTTTGCATCTATATCTATGCTCATGGCTTGTGTCTTAGAGATGTTGAGCTTGTAGTAGGAGTTTTGACCATAGGTTGGGATTTCCTCCAGTAAGTTCGGTAAAGATACCTGGGGTTGCATCAGTGTGAGTAAGAAATCATCAGCAAACAAGTTTACCTTATATTCCCGGTAGCCTATATGTCGGGGTTTTCTGGTTGCTAGTGGCTCCAATGCCATGACACACATGAGAGGGGAGAGCGGACACCCTTGTTGTGTACTGTTCGTTATAGTGAGTGGGTCTGATAGGAAGCTGGCATTGAGCACTCTTGCCACTGGTGTGCTGTATAGAACTTTCTCCGCATCAAAGGGTCAAAGGCCTTCTCCACATCTAGAGATACAATGAGCCCCAGAGATATTTCATATTATACAAGATATAAAATACTTTCCGTGTATTCTCGGAACCCTGTCTACCTGTCACAAACCCGATTTGGTCGGTGTGTATAATATGGGGTAAGATGGATCCTAATAGTTTGGGAAATAGTTTAGCAAATATTTTCGCATCAGTATTCAATAGAGAGATTGATCTAAAATGTTGTGGGCGGTTTGCCGGGTTTGGATAGTGTGACCATGTGGGCCAGGGGAATATTTTTTTGTCTAACATTTGTTGAGAGATTGCCTCATTGAAGGTGGCAAGCAGGTGTGGTGCTAAAATAGATTTAAATTGTTTGTAATAGGAGTTTTTGAAGGGCCGTGTGATTTACCTGCTGGCAGTGATTGTATTACTCTAATGATTTTCTCCTCCAAGATGGGGCTAGTGAGGTGCAGCTGCTGCTCAGGGATGAGGGTAGGCAATTGGATCTTCTCCAAGTATTCGTGTATGTTTATTTGCAGTGGGTTGGGATATACTTGTATCTTATCCAATGTTAAAGAGCTCGCCGTAGTATGAAGTGAAAGCATCACTAATGGCCTTAGGGATCAAGATTTTTCCCCCTGTTTAGGACATGAGAAATTATATTTTGGAATGGGCTTTCCTTTCTTTTAATCTGTGGGCCAGTAGTTTGCTTGCCCTATTAACCTGGGAAAAATTAGTTGCTTTTAATTTCTGCAACATGTATCCAGTTTTTGCTAGGGAGTGTTGGTGCAATTGTTTGGTGATGGTTTGTATTTGAATTTTTTAATTCGGGTGTAGGGTGCAGTTGATTCTGGATGTTTAGGTCATATAGTTTTGTCCTCCATTTATTAATTTGGGCTTGTGTTGTTTTACGTAAATAGGCTGCTCTGTTTTTGAGGACGTGTCCAGCGTATTGATTTCCTGATGTTGTTGTTGGGTATGGAGAAAGTTAGTGAATGGTGTGTCGCATAGCAAGGAGGCATTAAGTCTCCAAGGGTTGGGGTTTTTTAGATAATTTTTTTTGACTGGATTATGGTCTTTGAAATATCTTGCAATTAACAATTTGGTTCAGTGTAGACCCATGGATGCAAAATTAGTCTATGCTGGTATAGGCATTATGTATAGAAAATAGAAAGGAGTATCTGGGGGTGTGTGTGTGTGTGTCATAAACACACCCCAGATACTTCATCACACTGTTACCACAGGCTCTGAGTCCACCATATTTCAAAGATGTTCATTAACAATTTAGTTTATGGTGGTGTGTCCTGGAGTCTGAACTAAGCAGAGACAACGAACAGGCCTAACGCTGAGCATTAAAAAAACAAATTGCCCAAAAAAAGACTTCATGTCACAGCCTAAGGGCAAGAGAGCTATGGACAGGCAGGACAAAACTAATTTTATATCATAAACACACCCCAGATACTCCTTTCTACTTTTTAATACATAGGACCTCTTGTCCCCAGGATATCTCGATCTCCCTATCTCTCCCTATCTCTATCTCTGTCGTCAGTTTAGCAGAAAGCTGATTCAGAGATAAGTCCCCGTTATCAGGCCTTTCGTCAAGGTAGCGCAATACAAGGGAAACATCCCAAAATGAGAAATAGCGAGAAAGAGGTGGCCTCGAAAGGCTACACACTGCGTAACCGAGGACCGAGGGGTCCTTACCAATACCAGAACCTTGGGAAGGTACATGGGCCATCAAGA